TGTATAAGAAGCAGTCAGCTGTGACTGAAGGTGATTGCTCTCAGGGGGCTAATGCTACAATGTCTCTGCTGCAGCTCATTTAGTGCTTAAAATCTAAATGACAGATGCCGTGAAGAACTTAGTGGTGCTGTGGATTTCGTCATCTTTACAGAAAGGTATCAGTCAAAGCCAGTAGTATCTATTGTCTCAGCCTCTTCTATCGAAAAAATACAAGAAGAATAAAGCGTACCTCATGAAATTACATTTAGGCCACAGCTCCACAGGTCCCCATTCATTCACGATTCTTGCACCATACCTTAAAATAGCATCATTCTACTAGTAACTAGTATTTTCTCAGTCATGCTAACCCTTTGGCAACCACCAGGTATAACCATTATACCATCTTACCATGCCAGAAACACAAAGTAAGCTGAGACAATACAATAATTACAAGTGTTAAATATCACATCTCAATAAGGTTGTGTTAGATCATCAAATCATTAAGATTTATCCTCTGGAGATGTCTAAAGAGAATTTCATCTTATTCTATCAAACACCTTGCTGGAGACGCGAAAAATAAAATTATACATAAGTGGCCTTATTTTAAAGATCAAAGTCTACAGAACAATAAGTCTCAGCTAGACTTAGGGTTACGTGCCACAGACAGGGCGGGGAAGTCAGAAAGTAGTATCAGACATTTAAAGCATTGCTGCTGATTTTCGTCTCGACGCGGGTTAAAGTATATTGACAATTTAGACCTGTGCAATCCTTGTTCTTAAAACTGTCTGTGCCTAAAGAGCATGCAGGGTTCTGCCCATAAAAGTAACATTTAGTGCCTTTTTTCCCCCCAAGATTGCTTTCTCCATGTTTGGAGTCTATGTGATGCTTGATGACAAGAACGTCCTGGATGCACAGAAGGTCTTTGTCTCCATGGCGCTAATCAATATCCTGAAGACTCCACTCAGTCAGCTTCCATTTGCAATAAGCACAACCCTGCAGGTAGGTTGCATTTCTTCTCCATCCCTGATTGAGGAGATTATTTTCACAGTCCACAGTTTAACAGCACATATCGACCATTTCATTTCTGACTGTTTCAGGCTGTAGTCTCACTGAAACGTCTGGGGAAGTACCTGTGCTCAGAAGAACTGAAAATGGAGAATGTCTCAAAGGCACCACTGAGCTCTGGTAAGAACCCCACCCATATATACACTATTACACTGAACGAATACACTTCTATACTTTTCAGTTTCACAAATATCCACAGTTCGGTTCCCCATACTGCCTGAAATCACAGGCTGTCATAATCAATATAAGCATCCCACAAGATGTAGTTGTTTATAACTGTGGACTACCACAACCTTGTATGGATCATGTGCACTGTCACTCCTTGGGTCCCCAGCTGACTGGTAGACAGGGTAATTATAGGATGTTCCCTTCAGCGGTTGAACGTAAATCACAGCATGAATTCAGACATATGATTCAGAAAGAAATAAAAAAATATACTGCACTCCTCTGTCTGTAAACTGTCAATGCTTCCTAAGACAGCTTGTGAAAAAGCAGCAGCTCTGTAATTTGTATGATTAAGAAAATTCACTTGTAATTACGCCCCGGCTGCACCCTGCCGAGTAACTTCAAGGAGAAGCTTTGTTCTGAAAGTTTGTTTATCACTAAGGATGAAAGAATACATCTGTTTTCCAGTGCTCGCTGCAGGTTTTGTTCATTTAAGTCAATCTTTTCTTTATTGTTTAGACGGAGAAGATGTGGTCATAGAAAACGGCACTTTCAGTTGGTCTGCAGAGGGTCCTCCATGTCTTAAACGGTATGTCTTAAGTATGTGTTTATATGTTTAGGAAAAAAAAGATTGAAAAACGAAATCAACAACAGAATAAAAGATTTGAGGCTTACAGGAAAATTCACTTCTTTGTTGACAGGATCAGTGTCAGTGTACCTCGAGGATCCCTTGTTGCTGTGGTAGGACATGTAGGCAGTGGAAAGTCCTCGTTGTTGTCCGCTATGCTTGGGGAAACGGAGAAAAGAAGTGGCCAAGTTACTGTCAAGGTACTAAGCTCGCGTTCCATAACAAGGTCTATTCATAGTTTGTGGGCAACTTGTAATAAATATTGATATTCTCGCTTTTGACTGTCTCTTCACAGGGTTCTGTGGCGTATGTTCCCCAGCAAGCCTGGATTCAGAATGCCACAGTCCAAGACAACATCATATTTGGCCGGGAAAAGCTGAAAACATGGTACCACCGTGTGCTCGAGGCCTGTGCCCTGCTCCCTGACCTGGACATCCTACCTGCTGGAGATGCTACAGAGATTGGAGAGAAGGTATTGAATACTTTGTTTAAAAAAAATGCTGCTTCATGCATATGTTCAGTCTCAGATATTTTAAACGTTTTTTCTCCATGCAGGGACTTAACCTCTCAGGCGGGCAGAAGCAGAGGGTCAGTTTGGCCAGAGCTGTCTACAGAAAGGCTGATGTATACTTGCTGGACGATCCGCTGTCTGCCGTTGATGCACATGTGGGTCAACACATCTTCGACAAAGTCATTGGACCAAAAGGAGTCCTTAGAGACAAGGTAATGCCATATAACGTCTGCAAAGTTCAGTTTATCCAGTTCAACGCAACCACAAAGACAATTGCGCCAGTTACAAGTTCTGTGCTATTGTTATCATAATATGGAAACAACCACTTTGCTGACACCTTTGTTTTCAAGAAAGCCTCAATTTAGCGTTGGATTGTGCTTACATGTCATTTTTCTGACTTGTGTGGCTTGCTATACAGACCCGCATCCTGGTGACCCATGGGATGAGCTTCCTGCCGCAGGCCGACCTCATCCTCGTCCTCGTAGATGGAGAAATCACAGAGAGCGGCTCTTACCAGGAGCTCCTCAGCCACCACGGCGCATTTGCAGACTTCATCCACACCTTTGCAAGCACAGAGAGAAAAGAGAGTGCCATGCAACGAGGTGAAGAGACATTTCAGACATTAGTTTTGGTGGTTTTACATTAAGACAATCTCTTAAATTCCCAGTAATAACTCAACACTATGCACATTTTTCATGTAGCCGGTTCCAGGAGGTCTAATGCTCGCCTCAGTATGGTCGACTTCATGCCATTCTCCAGAGATCTCTCACAGGAGCAGCTCATTGGGTACATTGACAAATGCATCACTCCTCATTCTCATATTTGGAATATAAACCATACTTTTTTATGAAACTGACCTCTGACCTCTCCTTAGGGGTGACACCACTAATACTAACCTGCAGAATATGGAGCCTGTTTCTGAAACAGACCAGGAACAAGTACCAGAGGACTTGGGAAAGCTCACTGAAGTTGACAAGGCACGCACTGGAAGAGTAAGTCTGAAAAAGGCCTAAAATTAGGTGTCAGTGCCACTCCCTACCATGCTCTGCAGTTTCCCTCAACTCTGCTTAGCTTGCCAGTATATTTCAAATCATTGTTGTTATTTTAGATTGTGCAAGTCTAATGTTTTGGTAGACAGTCACTCCCCTTATGTTATTTTTGGCTAAAACAAGAAGCCATCTTCAATGAAAAGCAATTTTACATGACCTGCCCAGCACCAAACGGCAAACAGATACACATTAGTAAAGTTAAACACATGGTCATGGCAGACACATTGTTCTAGTTGTGTCGGCAAAAATAGTTATTGCTGGTTTAATAATTATGAATAAAATTGTTTTATTATCTCTGATCTGGACTTGGATAAATGGGAGGGAATGGATGTGAAGATAGTTCTCTTATTCCTGCTGCTTTATCTGTTTGTAACAGGTGAGGTTGGATATGTACAAGAAGTACTTCAAGACAATCGGTTTGGCCATCATCATTCCCATCGTCTTCCTGTACGCCTTCCAGCAGGGCGCTTCGTTGGCTTACAACTACTGGCTCAGCAAGTGGGCTGATGATCCTGTTGTTAACGGCACCCAAATTGATACAGACCTGAAACTGACTGTCTTTGGTGCCCTTGGGTTTGTGCAGGGTGAGTTAGCGGGTTTAATTCAAATGATGCTTCAAATGATTCAAACAATTTAACTTAGTTTGGACATAACAAACACTCATTCTCCCTTCCCTTCAGGTGTTGCTATCTTTGGTACGACTGTTGCCATCTCTATCTGCGGGATCATCGCCTCTCGCCACTTGCACATGGACCTCCTGAACAACGTGCTGCACTCTCCGATGTCTTTTTTTGAGTCCACGCCAAGTGGCAACCTCCTGAACCGCTTTGCTAAGGAGATTGACGCTATTGACTGTATGGTCCCTGAGGGCTTGAAGATGATGCTAAGCTACGTCTTCAAGCTCATGGAGGTCTGCATCATCGTGTTGATGGCGACACCCTTTGCAGCCGTGATCATCCTGCCTCTGTCTTTCCTCTATGCCTTTGTCCAGGTATATTTTCTCCCCAAAATATAAACTCTCCACTCTGATCTTTAGTTTCTTATTTGAGATGATGCTGTTGAATGTTGCTTAGCAAGAGCTGGGTTCCATTACTGTATGTTATTGGAAAGTTCTGGGCTCCAAAACCAAACCTGCTGATTTTGCCATCCACTTGAATTTTGTTTCCCACCTGCTGACATGGACTTTGAATGCATTCACTCTGAGTTATGGGAAAGCCCCTGAGCGTTTCCACTTGTTTCATTCATTAAAGATGGTGTTTTACTTTTCCACTGTGGCCAACAGAGCTTCTACGTTGCCACATCCTGTCAGCTGCGCAGGCTGGAAGCCGTGAGCCGCTCGCCCATCTATACCCATTTCAATGAGACGGTGCAAGGCGCCAGCGTCATCCGAGCCTTCGGAGAGCAGTCCAGGTTCATTCTGCAGGCTAATGAGAGGGTTGACTTCAATCAGACCTCCTACTTCCCTCGATTTGTGGCCACCCGGTGAGAGGATATGCAATCATTATAAAGTGCCTTAGCTTTATTCATATTCCATTTGCTCACTTAGCAGTTGATGAGGGTTGGTTACGGTTTATAACATTAAGAATTGTGGTTGATTTATGAGATAACAATGTTATTAATGATATTAATGATAACACTGATATCTACAGGTGGCTGGCGGTCAATCTGGAGTTTGTTGGTAATGGTGTGGTCTTAGCTGCTGCCATTCTGTCTGTGATGGGGAAAAGCACCTTGAGCCCAGGCATTGTTGGTCTGGCTGTGTCACATTCCCTCCAGGTAATACAGTCTACCCACAGTCACGTTGTTATACTGTTATCCAAGTAGCCACCTTATTACCACCAAAAACACAGTCATATTCTTCGATCACACAGCTACAGAATGAGGCATTTGGGAGTTAAACTAGAAAAAGTGAAAATTGCATTGTTTTTATTTCTATCCGGAAATGCATCGCATTTCGGGAGAAGTAAAAGTCTTTTCACTAAATATTGCAGGTGACTGGAATCCTAAGCTGGATTGTGCGATCTTGGACTGATGTGGAAAACAACATTGTTTCCGTTGAGAGAGTGAACGAGTACGCTGACACTCCTAAAGAGGTCATTATTCCCACTGCACACACACGTACACCAATTACTGCTTAGGACAATAAACTGTTCTAGAGGATGGCTTTTGTTTCTCTACTTATCCTTCCTTATTGGCTCATGCAGGCCAGTTGGAGTATAGAGAGCAGCTCACTACCCCAGGCCTGGCCCCAGAACGGTACTATAGAGTTCCAGGACTACGGACTGCAGTACCGTAAAGGCCTTGAGTTGGCTCTGAAAGGAATTACTTTGCATATTCATGAGCGAGAGAAGGTAATTCATTTTGTGTGATATTAAAAGTGTTCATCGCCTTGATTTAAACTGCATAATTGTCTAAAACATAATTTCTAAAACATAATTTTTTTCAGGTCGGAATTGTGGGTAGAACTGGAGCAGGAAAATCCTCACTTGCCCTGGGAATCTTTAGGATCTTAGAGGCAGCAAAGGGAAAGATCTTTATCGATGGAGTCGACATTGCTGACATTGGACTCCATGACCTCAGATCGCGCATTACTATCATTCCTCAGGTACAATAACTCTTATTGAGATCTGGCTTTCATCACATTAACTTCTTGCAGCAGTAATGATCTGGATCGAGTGTAAAATCAGCCATTAAAAAAATTATTAGTGATTATATTACTAATTTAGACATTTCGGTGATTAATAAAATCTCTGTCCTCTCTCACAGGATCCTGTGCTGTTCTCAGGCTCCCTCCGGATGAACCTTGACCCTTTTGATACCTACACAGACGAGGAGGTGTGGAGTTCACTGGAACTTGCTCACCTCAAAAACTTTATATCTAATCTGCCTGACAAACTTAACCATGAATGCACAGAGGGAGGAGAAAACCTCAGGTACACACAAGCTCACCAATATGACACGCAGTAGCGTACAGTAGCGTCTACTCCAGCACCACGTTTAGTATGATATTCTACTCTTCCCTTCTCTTCCTTTGTATACGTAGTCTGGGTCAGCGTCAGCTCGTATGCTTAGCCAGAGCCTTGTTGCGGAAAACCAAAATCCTGGTTTTGGATGAGGCAACAGCTGCTGTGGATCTGGAGACCGACACACTCATCCAGTCAACAATCCGCACACAGTTTGAGGACTGCACTGTGCTGACCATTGCTCACCGCCTTAACACAATCATGGACTACACCAGGTATATTAATGTTCATTGTCTATTTAGTGATTTGACAAAAAAATAACGGTGACAGTTTTAAGAATTCATTAAGTGACTGAGGCTAGGTAAAGATCCCGCATTAGATGATCCCAGCTTCTGGAATATTGCTGCTTTTATCCATTTCTTGTCACAGTCCAAAAGTCTGTGAAAAGAGAGGACTTGTTTTGGACTCTGGACACTAACATGTAAAGGGCATTTGTTATTAGAAGAAAAAAAAAACTGTTTTTATTTACCATTTCAAAGACAGTAAATTGTGGGAATGGTTCTAAAGAAATATATTGTTTCTTGTAGCCCTACAAACAAACTTGTTAATATTAACTTTTGCCTAAACCAGTGGTATCTATGCAGTTTGTGGAGTCAAAGAGTCAAATCCAGGTGTAACATGGTCACTAGTGACATGCATTGTTTTTGCATTATTTAACTGCACTAACTTAATCAATGAATTGTTAACTTATATTCTGTCATTTGTAGATGCTAATTAACATACAGAGGAAAGATCTGTTTGTAAAAACTGCTTTAAAAATGGATCTGACTCTTGCTGCCTGTGGATCTGAATGAGAAACAGCTAGGTTATTTGTTGGACTATGCAAAAGTGTTTGAGGTCAGAGTCTCTATGTGATGCAGGCAAGTTATATGCTAGTAGAGTGTTATGCTATATCCAGATACAGCAAAGGAAATGATGACATGTGAGATGACATGGAGACTGTTTTGTACCAATCCGAATACAGATGTGCTTTGCAATATTTGCTTGTACTGCACAGCTTTATTACACACCTATATGTTGCATATAAACAATATACTTTCTTTCTTGCTGCTTCGCAGAGTTATCGTCATGGACAGAGGCCACATTTCTGAGATGGACTCTCCAGCCAACCTCATCTCACAGAGGGGGCAGTTCTATCGAATGTGTCGGGAAGCCGGACTGGTCTAGGTCTCCGTTGGGCTTTGGCCATAGAACTGATGACCTGGTGTACAGATGTGGCACCTTATGCTTATGGCTCTCCAACACACATTAATCTGGGCCATTCCAAGCTTTGTGGCAGCTCCAAAGACCTCTCCGTGAGGGCATTGTCGATGAATCTCAAAAGCATTTGTTGGTTTTTAACAGACAGACACACTGTCCCAAGTCAGGAAAAGACATTGTTAACCTCAGAGGATGAAAACTATACAGGAATGCTATACTGGATATTTGAGTCTCGCTACAAATGTTGTATTTCGATTAATGGAGTCAGTTTATTCCATAAAAAGGATTAAGCCAAAGGCTGGAATGAAAGGGTAACACAAATCTTAAGGATTTTCATTCTCTTTAAGAATGGAAGCTATATTATTTTTGTAGTTTTATAAGTGTGTTTTTTTTTATGTTTTCTCAGGCTTAAATATGGATGTTTACTCACTCTTTTTTTTAGCCTTGTATAGAAAGAAGAGGCAATTTTATAATTTTAAAATGATAGAAGTCTTATTTTGTCTTCTTGTCTCAGAAAGTGGGTCAGGAAATTCTCTGACACACTAACCTTCAAAAGGTTCAAATGAGGAGGGCAAATGAGGTTTGTACTGCATTCAAAATCTGAGCTTGGGGCAGCCAATTTGGAGTTTTTATATGTAAGGGAAAATGAGGAAAACATTGAAGTGAGCCAACACATTAGCAATCGTCCAACTATGTTGTGGCCATTGTTTATTTCTGTCAAAGTAAACACATAAAACAGTCAATAGAGTCCTTTCTGGTCAGATTTAACCTGACACCGGTAGTGAAAACCACCATGAATGAAGAGAATGCCTCGTGAAAACAATGGTGATAAATCTCTGTGTGATTGTCTCTCAGCGTCTACCACACAGACCCAGGCCATACACACACGGAGAAGATAAAAATCAGTGTTTGTTTGTTTTATTCTTTATGGTGCTGACATGTTGATTTTAGTCTCTATTCAAAGAATGAACCCTATGGACTTTTCAAGGAGAAGAAGCATTTACTGTTTTGTCTTACTGGTTTAGACAATATATTCTAAGAGAAACCCAAGTTTTTATTTATACCATTTGACAAAATGTATTAAGTGTCCTTAAAATTATGAGGATTATGTTATATTTATACTTTTTATAACAAGCTTGATCATTTTCACTGACCTTTTACTGTTAATGGCTTTTGTTCCATACATCATGCTGGAAAATAAAATTTATTTGACTCAATGGTTATGTCTGGCTTTGCATTCGTAAGTATATAATGGTAGGTGCTTTCGCAACCAAGTGAATGCGGATTGAAGAAGTGCTACAGAGCAATTAAGGCAACTTAAAATAATCACAGGATGGTGTCGAATGTGATTATATCTATGTATTTATATCTAATAATATTATGCCCAACTGACTTCATCATTTAAAAAAAAAGACACATTTCAAGTAAAAACCAAGTATTTCCTAATAATTACATTTAGAAAGAGTGAGGCAAAAATGTCTAACTCTATTCATTTAGGACTGTTTCTTTAAACGAGACTTTTGCCTCCTCATGTGTCAAGTTATGTATGCAGTTTAATCCACATCCACATTTTTGTGTCAGAGCCTGTGCACAGCTCATTCAATGTGAGATTTACTGTGGTTTGTTGCATGTAACCAGAGCTGAGTTTATAAAAACCAGGGAAAGGTGCATGTAAAATATAAATTCACACAAAACTTAGTTTAAGTTACCAAACTCAGTCACTAGGTGGCAGACAGCTATGAAGAGTAGCATACAGACAGCTGTTCGTTTACACCAATGACTGCAGAATGACTGTTTTGTCCTTCCAGTTACTGTTTTCTGCAGTCATGATGAGTAACCACGGGACAACAGACCCAGGAAAACACATTAAATAAATGGCTTAAATACTAAGAGTGATAATGAGGGAATCAGACACAGGAGGGGAGCACTGCAGGGAGCAATCATACATCACAAGGAGTGGAGGAAGCAAAACTGAAAACATTAGCAAAGGACGCAAAACTATTAAAGTGAAAGGCACGGAGATGCGGACTTGACAAGGACACACGTCTGACAGGGGAGACAGAGCGAACATTGGGAACAGGTAGACGTCACTGTCTGGGGAGAGAAGAGGGGATGAACAAACACATAGACAGGGGTGACTCAACATGAAACGAGGAACACAGGAACGGCACAGAGAAAATACGGAGACAGACTATACACAGCCTAAGATAAACACTGAGGGAGGGAGAACTACAACCAAATAAAAGCCTAAGACATAAAAGAGGGTCAAAACTGTGAATAACTCTCAAAGAATATTGTAACCCAACCAGCGCAGGGGCCTCCCTACAGCCCGGACTCTGCGTTGTGCAATTTTGTGTTGGATTAGAGTGTACAGAGTAGGAGTGAGTTTGTGAAGGACAGATGGTGTAACCCTGGACACATCACTGTGAAAGACAAACTCTGGAGCAGAAACATTGAGCTGTTAGCCATTAGCATGCCTCCGTACTACCTCCCCAGGGATGTTATCGCGATAACAGCGTATGTCCTCCCCTTGGCCAACGTGGATGCAGCCTGTGACTCTCTCCACTCTGTGGTCTGCAAATGCAAATGCAATCTCTGAGAGCCCTTCTTCTAATATCAGGGGACTTTAATCATGTCTCACTGGACTTGGACATTGGACATGCCCAACCAGAGACAATAAAACACTAGACTTACTGTACGCCAATGCAGAAGGGCATAAAGTTCACCTCTCCCTCCCCTGAGCAGATCTGATCACAACCTGGTGCACCTTGTCCCTGTGTATGAGCCCTTAGTGCACATGGAGCCACCAGCCACCCACACACTGCAGAGATGGTCGTAGGAGAGCGAGCAGGCTCTTAAGGACTGTTTTGAGTCTACTATGTGGGAGGTGATCTGTGAGGACACTGACAGCCTTGTGATATGCATTACGGATTATATTAACTTCTGTGTGGATAACACAGCACCCACCAGGATTGTGCGCTGTTTCTCCAACAACAAGCCTTGGATTACCTCAGAAATTAAAGCTGTCCTCAAGCAGATGAGGAAATCCTTCAAATCTAGAGACAAGAAGGAGTTGACAAGGGTGCAGAGAGTGCTGAGAGGACTGATAAGGAATGGGAAGGACAGCTACAGGCAGAAGACTGAGAACCAGCTTCAGCAAAACAACGAAGTCTGGAGAGGCCTTAGAACCATCTCGTGCCACAAAGATCAGAACCCTCTGCCCGTGGGGGATGTGAGGTGGGCAAATGAACTGAATCAGTTCTATAATAACAGGTTTGATTCATCCATGAGGCAATCTTCAACATCGGCTGCAGACTCACACACCCCCACTGCTGCTGTTCCACCCCTGACACCTCAGACACTTCACACCTCCTCTACTCACCCTGCTCACTACTCCCCACCCCCAACAACAGTTCCAATACACATTCAACACCAGGCTTCAGCCTGTCTCTCTCAAACACCCAGGTTAGGAGGGAAATGAGAATTAAAGCCAAGAAGGCAGCGGGTCCAGATGGCATCAGCTCAGGTCGTCAGGTCCTGCGGAGACCAACGGTGTGGGGTGATGGAGCACATCTTCAACCTGAGCCTGAGACTGGGGAGAGTCCCACAGCCCTGGAAAACCTCCTGTGTTGTACCAGTGCCAAAGACTCCACGTCCAAAAGACCTCAACAGCTACAGGCTGGTGGCTCTGACATCTGACCTGATGAAGACCCTGGAGCGGCTGGTCCTGGATCAGCATCGGCCCCTGGTGAGCTCATCATTTCAGTTTGCCTACCAGCCTGGCATTGGAGTGTATGATGCCGTCATTCACCTCCTACATTGTTTCCTCTCTCACCTGGAGAGCGCTGGGAGCACTGTGAGAATCATGTTCTTAGATTTCTCTAATGCCTTTAACGCCATTCTTCCCACAGTTCTGAAGGACAAGCTGGAGAACACAGGAGTGGACCATCACCTCACTACATGGATACTGGACTACCTCACCGATTGACCACAGGATGTGAGAACTCAGGGCTGAGTGTCAGACAGGGTTGTCTGCAGTACAGGGGCCCCATGGGGAATGGTTCTGGCTCCGTTCCTCTTCACCATCTACACTGCAGACTTCTCCCAAAAATCCACCCAGTGCCTCCTTCAGCAGTTATCTGATGACTCTGCAATAGTCAGACTCATCACTGATAGGGATGACAAAGAGTACAGATAACTGGCCAGTGACCTTGTGGACTGGTGCCAGCAGAACTACCTCCAGATCAACACTAATAAAACCAAGGAGCTGGTGTCAGACTTCCGCAGGCACAAACATCCTCCACTGCAACCACTAAGCATCCAAGGTATGGACATTGAGGCTGTGGACAGCTACTGGTACCTTGGTGTTTATCTGAACAATAATTCAGACGCCCTCTACAGAAGAGGGCAGACAAATGGTCAGAATTAGGCGAATCTACAGTGTATTTCCAGCTCAACAGCGACACCCTGTGACGTATTCAAGTCACTACCTTACAATATTAAACCAAAAACACAAACACTGGGTCACCCAGTAAATATTCTGTTCTATTTACTGGGGACATTTCATTCTTGCATGTACCAACTTCCTGTTTGTCATTCATAGTAAAATAAAAATGCACAACTTAATGTCAGCACTTGTGTCATCACAGGTTCACACAGAGCCTTCTGGCTCTGTATCCTATCTTCACCAAATGGCCAAGGAATAAGCTCAACACAAACAAGATGGCCATATCCAGCTCAACAATTTTTAAAGTGCTAACAGGTGATTCTTTGAGACCACGGATGTTTCCCCCACAGTTTATTGTTTTACTACTAGAAGTGATGAGTATACTTTTAATAATCCTACAGCAGTAATTAATCACAGAGCTGGGAGATGAATTGAATTATGATTTAAATGACAACTCTGGCTTTTAACAACTAATTAAACAAGATCATTGGGATGAACCGTTACGGTTCATTGCTCAACCCTGTGACCTGAGACATCAATCAGTGAAAACTGTGGGCTAATAAGGAGCGTCAGATGCCTTCTGAAGGTGGGTGTGATGTTTAAAAGGAAGTGTATCCTTCTCTTTGATGTCTACTTTAAAAATGCATTTATTTTAAATATATCTACATTTCAGAAAATCTCATTGTTCAAAACTGAGTAAATCCAAAATGTTTCTCTTGATCACATGTCAAATGATAAAATTTCTTGTATTTAAAATGTCAAAATGTGGTATAGTTATATTCTTGTCTGGTAACAATAATAGACTGAGCTGGCTCTTTTTTTCTCCTTTAAAAAAATGCTACATTGTCTTCCTCCACACATGAATGAATGTGTGTTTTGAAATAAGTCAAGATATAAAACTATCACATTCTGCTTTATTAAATCTATTCTGCCATGTTCAGATTTTTTTGAAAGGTTTCAAAATAGGTTACACATTTAAATGAAACAGGAAGTTGGTGAATGTTTTTTTTTCAACTCACAGACAATGAAAACAAACAGAAATCAGGGCATGAAACTGAAACATTTTTATTGATATTGCGGCATGCAGAGGAATAGTGATGTGCAAATCATGTATCTATTTAGAAGATACAGTATTTACCTAAATGTGGCAGGTATACCAGTACATTTGCTGCACATGTAAACTCACTGGAGTCTTGTGGAAATACAAAATGCCCTCTGTTCTGTCAAACAAAAGCTTTATTCTAAATGACTTGATCTCAACAAGTAACATAAACGTTGTCTTCTCAACATAGAAATTGGTCAGAAATGGTCATTTGAGTGTTTTTTCCAAGGAACACCCCTTCGACTATACATTTTTTTTTAGCTCGGAGGAGAGCTAAAAAGGTTCTCCAAGTGGTAGGGCGGTGGACCACTCAACCTTGATGTTTGCTGTTTTTGCATTGCTCTCCTAAACCCAAAATAGTTTTCTGTTCCACTTTTGTGATTTTATTTCTTCTATTCTTCTTATAACTATTTTATGGCTGATTTTAATATTTATATTTACCAGGCTGAACATCTGAATTTTGACCTGTATGAGAATCCCTTAACCTAACCATGTCTCAGCATTTTACATGAGTGTGGTCAGACTCTTTCTCTT